AAAAAAAAAAAAAAAATGTATTATCTATAAATTCAGAAACCTGAGAAATATGTGTGAAAGGCACAGCAAATAATTAAAACCATACATTATCGTAACAATTACTTGTTAGATTATTATTATTACAGAGAGATGTCTGTGTATATATAGAGCAAAGACTTTCAGGCCGTTGAAACTGCTAGTCAGCAGCTTAGAAGGAAAGAAATTCCATATTCAGAATTTCCATGAAGGCCAGAGAGAGAAGTGCTCTCCTGAGGACCTACCATCTAGGTGCCGAAAGATGTGAATGGAAATGTGCTCTGCTGATCAGAAGAAACTCAGTTCCTCGGGCTGGAGATATCACCATCATTCTGAATTCTGCATGTGCTCTCAAAGGTAAGGAGACCACAATCACAAAGTATCCTGAGTCAACAGTCTGTGCGCCTTTCAACTCCCACTGTGTCTAACCTCTTCACATCATTGACAATAAAAACTGCAATCCGCCAGGCGGTGGTGGCGCACGCCTTTAATCCCAGCACTCGGGAGGCAGAGCCAGGCGAATCTTCACGAGTTGAGTCCAGCCTAGTCTACAAAGTGAGATTCAGGACAGGCTCCAAAGCTACACAGAGAAACCCTGTATCGGGAAAAAAAAAAAACAAAAACAAAAACAAAAACAAAAAAAAACCAAAAAACCAAAAAACAAAAACAAAACAAAAAAAGCCACGAGAGCTATCATTTGGGGAAAGGAAGCGGTACGCCCTTATATCTTTCAAGTCAAGTGAGTGGGAACAACTTTGCAGTTATACCATTATCCGGCTATCATTTCACTCAGCAGACCTATGTTTCATGACTCAGCTTTGGAAGAAGTATCAAAAAGCAAAGTTAAGCTGGACATGGTGGTGCACACCTTTAATCCCAGCACTTGGGAGGCAGAGGCAGGAGGATCTCTGCGAGTTCAAGGCCAACCTGGTCTACACAGGAAGATCCTGTCTCCCAAAGAGGGAGGGGAAAAGAGAGTTAAAACTAAAAAATATTCAATGAATACTTTATATGGAAATAGAAATAATTCTATAAATCCACGTATTACTCCAAATGACAATCTGGAGAAAAGTAGCTCCAAGGTGAACTTTTCTGTTCACAGACGCAAGGACATCATGCTATCTTCAAGTAAGTAGGGCCTAGCCGTCAGCCTTAGAAACAGTCAAAGCGATAATACTCCAGTTTCTACCTCTGCTCTGCTTTGCGGTGTCAACGTTGATAGAAAGCAGTAAGAGAAGTGTCTGTCTGACGGTGTATGCCTGCATCTCAGCATTTGGGAATGGAGGCAGGACGATCAGAAATTCAAGACCAGTGTGGCAACTTAATAGAGTCTGTTAATAGAGCATCAAACTAAGAATCAGAAGACTAATTGGCCTCATTCAACAATCTTTAGTGAACACCTGTAACTTGCCCAGCGCTGTGGGTTTTTTGTTTGTTTGTTTGTTTGTTTGTTTTTGTTTTGGAGACAGGGTTTCTCTGTGTAGCTTTGGAGCCTATCCTGGAACTCACTCTGTAGACCAGGTTGGCCTTGCACTAACAGAGATCCACCTGCCTCCGCCTCCTGCATGCTGGGATTAAAGGTGAGCACCACCACTGCCCGGCTACTGTTTGTGACACTAAATACACAGCGATGAACAAAAGATAAACTGCCTCTCTCACCAATCTTCCCCAGGCACTGCCTCCCCTCCCTGGATCTTGATTTCAACGTCAACATTCCAGACTGGGCTCCAGAACCAACTAGACTGCCATATCCATCTTAGCATTTTATGGAGAGCCAAATCTGTCTTTCAAACACTTGCTTTTTCTTTTTCTTTTTCTTTTTTTTAATTATTTTATTCAAATGGGTTTTTTGTCTACAAGTATGTCTGTGCAACACATGTGTGCATCACGTGCAAATCTGGTACCCCTAGAAGCCAAAAGAAGGCACAGGAACCCCTGGAACTTGAATTACAGACAGTTGTGAGCCACCACGCTGGTGCTGAGAATGAAACCCCATCTTGAAGAAGAGCAGTCAGTGCTCGTAGCTGCTAAGCCATCTCTCCAGCCCTCAAATGATGCTTCCCGTAAAAGACAAAGAACTGGCACTGCACAGATGACTCTCTCCAGTGGCCAGCATCTACATCAATTCTGACAATTCCTACCTGAAGTTGAGTCAGATGCCACAGGCAGGGCTCAGTCCCACTGCACTGTCCCCATCTGAGAGGCCAATCACAAGGAGTAGGCTGTCACAACTTTCCTTTAAGTGATGACATGTCAACATTTCCTAGGACCTGCCCCCTGAAAATACCATCATTGGCTTACTGTAAGATACTACAGGAAGGCGTGGTGACATGCCCCACAACCTGAAGCTGGAAGTCAGAGGATCAGCAAGCAGTTGGGAGGCTGAGGCAAAAAGATCACGAGTTCAAGGTCATCCTCAGCTACAAAAGATCCCGCTCAAGCAAAAACAAGCAAACAAAACATGGCATTTCAAAGGAATATACCCTGAATTCCATCTCTAACAAAGCAAAAGAAAAAATTTAACAGCCATGCCTCAAGGGGGGTGCATAGAGGCAAGGTCTGTCGGGGAAGGGGTCACACCAGACTTTCTCCTCCCAGATGTTACTAGGTAGGGAATGAAAGGTTAAATCCTCTGGTTTCCAGTCCCATCCTGAGGCTACCCAAGAGCCCCATCTTGTCACTTAATTACCTCAGTATAAAATTGGGTGCAGAGAGGATGATCATTATGAGTAACAAAAGTCCTATCACTCTCAGAATTCCAAGGGTTTTAGCTCCGTGGGACAGGACCGGATTCAGCTCTCAGTACACCAAGGTTATGAAGGGCGTGATCTCATTCTGCCTCTTAGGGTTTTCTTGTCACTGGTTTGCTTTTCCATGGCATTTTACGTTCATGCTTCTAATCTACTTCTTTTATATTATTATTACCATGTTTGGAATTCCAGGGATATAGCAAAAAGAAAAGTAGTTTCTGTACTCAACAAAAACTGAAATTACCGCTTAATCTTCATGATTATTTTCTCTAAAACTGAGAAACAAAACAAAATCAGATTTGATCCTCTCATCTCTATGCTCAAGTTAATCCCTTCCACAAAACCAAACCAAACCTAACTCTAGTTCTTTATTCCCAACAGCTTTAGTATGACATTTTAAGTCTTTTCTGTAACCTGGTCTCTTCCACCCACTCCTTCCAGCTTCCCCTTCCACCCAGATCCCTTTGCTCTTCTCCACCACTTTCAGTTTCTACACAGGGCCTGCCCTTGCTCAGTGCACGGTTCCAGATTTGTTCATGATGCAACCTCTTCCTAGAGACAGCCCTTCCCTTCCCTTTCCCACCAAATCACTCAAGATCAGCCAGAACAATTTGAATACAATTCAGGGGAGGAGGAGGGATTCTGTTTCATCTACTACTCTAACTTTGAATACCCATCTGGTAGCCAAGCAACAGATGCTAAAAGACTGTTAAAACTTTATTTGAAAAGATTAAGCATAAAAAGAAATCAAGCATCATTTACATTGGGTTTCAAAATATGGATTTGTTCCTACAAATCGAACATCCATTTGGCTAAGTGAATATCCTGGCATCTTTGAGTTGTACAAAACTTATTAAGGCTAAAATAAAATATGCCACTTGAAAATCAAGAACACCATTCTTGAATCTGTTAAACATGGGTTTATGATGTTCTAACCTGGGACCTATTTCTAAATTAGGATGTTCTGGTTGTTTAACACACAAAGATGTGTTTAGGAAAAAAAAAAAAAAGCTGGGCGGTGGTGGCACACGCCTTTAATCCCAGCACTCGGGAGGTAGAGAAAGGCGGATCTCTATGAGTTCAAGGCCAGCTTGGGCTACTGAGTGAGTTCCAGGAAAGGTGCAACTCTGTCTCAAAGAAAAAAAAAAAAAAAAAAAAAAAAACAACCACAAAGCCTAGTTAGTATTTACAAAGAAGCCTACCTGAGTTGGATTTCCAAAACCCACATGGCAGAAAGAACCAACTCTCAGAAGTTGTCCTCCGACCTCCATGTGCAAGCAGCGGCACATTCGTTTATACACATGCACACAAAATTAGCCAAGTGTGTTATTTAAAACTGCTCATAAATTATGCTTTCACTTACGTTAAGGGCAAGTGTGATGCCATCAATGACACTGTTCACCTTCAAAGGCTGTTTATACTAAACAATGACTAAAAGGAGCACAAAATGTTGACAAATAAGGCCGACCTAGGGATCTTAACACTAAACCATCAATTTTTTTAAAATTATAAATAAAAATCCCACCTGATTCTCGGGTGTTTTGAAAGGCATTTATCCATTTTCAAAACTCTGGGTGTTAGTTAAAAAGATGATAATGCCTAGTAAATTTTGATTAGCACATTGAAAAAACTAGGTCAATGGTTTGATGAGTACTAGGATGGTTTTGTTCTTTTACAAAGGAAGGACGCATTTTCTTAGCCTTCATTACTCTGGGAGGGTCTCATCAAACACACAGTCAAGTCGCTAAAGAGCGCCCCTCCCCCAGTGCTATCTAGGAACATTCCAGATCTCTAGGGTAAGGGGATAGGCATGCTAGGGTAAGATCATTTCTCAGCAGAAACTCCTGCATGCTCAGAGCCTATGACCTCAGTATGAATGCCACATTCGTGCTGCCTTATGCAGGCCTTGCCTCAAAAAAGGGCCAAACAACTCTGGCACGTTTTTCTACATCTCAAAGTAGGGCCCGGGAATGGGGGAATCTGAAGGTGTTCCTTTAGATCCTTTTGACACCTGCTCCCCCGCCCCCCCACAACACTATAAGCAAACTCCAAACGCTGGAGCAGCAACCGCGGCGGCCAACCACAACCGATCCCGAGGCCGAGGTGGGTCGGGGTTACGGTTACACTTCTGCATCCTATTTACACCCTTTTGTCTACAAACTTGAGTGCAAACTAAGTTCCCTTTCTAGGCGGCGTGCTCCCTCGCTGGGCCTTAAAAAATCAAAGCGACGTCCCCGAGGCCGGAAGGATGCGACCCACCAGGTCCCGAGGCTGCACCTTAAGCCCTCCGTGGACCACGCACTCTGCCGCCCCCGGCTTCCAGGGAGCCCTCGGCGCCGAAAGGGGTCGCCCCGGGCAACCGGCCGGCGCCCTGCTCCGAGAGGACGGTGGAGCCGGGCGCGCCGACCCCTACACGCCGGCCTCCGTCCGCGCGGGGTGG